AGTCGGGAGGCTGAGGCAGGAGAATGGCGTGAACCTGGGAGGCGGAGCTTGCAGTGAGCCGAGATCGCGCCACTGCACTCCAGCCTGGGAGACAGAGCGAGACTCTGTCTCAAAAATAAATAAATAAATAAATAAATAAAATAACATGAAAACATTAAAATGATTATAAGGAAGTATGTAATAACCTGGAGTGTGCTTCAGAAACTTTCATTCATTCAATAAATATTCATTAGAACTGGACATGGCTTCTTCCTGTAAGAAGTTCATTTCCTAGGTAAGAAGATACGGTGAAGATTGAGAAAGCTCCTTGAGGATAGGTCTCTGTCCTGTCGTTTCTCCAAGACCTAGAGCAGTGGCTGACACACAGCAGACGTTCGATAAACATTTATTGGCTGGCTAGCAAGGATAACACCACACACAAAAAAATTTAATTCCAGGCGACATATAACTTAAAGATATCTTATTTAACAAAAACTCTATGAAGGCTTTGGAACTTTACAGAAGAAATCATTGAGACCAACAGGGATAGAAGCAACGTTCATCAAAGTAGATGATGCATCCTTGTTTACCTATGGAAGACCAGAGGAAGATGAGACGGGGGTTGGCAGTCGGAAGTGGAGCTAAGGTAGCACTTCAGCTGCTAGAGTATGCTTTGGTGCTTGAGTTGCCGTGGGGCCAGACCAACAGATCACTGGCATCGCCACGAGTGACAGCATGCGTGGCAGCAGCTGGCCTGAGGTGGACCTGCCATGTCAGAGGCCCCAGAGTCCACCAAGACTCTCAGGCCAGGCTGGCTGACTCCTGATCTAAAACTAAAGGTGGGGAATAGTCACTAGAGTGTTGTTTTCTTGTATGTTCCAGTGGGGCAATCCTGGACTGGATGAGAAATTTCTGCTTGCAAATGTATGTCAATTATGTTGATTTTATAATAATGATAATTATATCAGGTCTACAAATCTATGTTCTTTTTGGAATAATTCAGAATGTATGGCCTGCAAATTTTCTTAAACTAAACTGCTGAATGTGCATTTTAAGGGTGACTAAATTTACTTTGAAAAAATAACATATTAACATAAGTTTACAAACAATATTTAGCTATTATAAATAACCTTACTTCAAAATCAATTTTATCTTCTTTTCCTGTGTCACAGGTATCATATTTTATCAGGAATTCCTTGGTGCTGCTTTTCTCACTGTATTTATATATCTTTTTGGGTGAGTAAATGTCTCAGAGGTAAAGTATGTGAAATTCTATTACTTTTACATAGGATTTTTGGCATTGTACCAGAGGTATAGAAAACTGGAAAATAATATAAGAAACGTCAGTTTCCTGAGCTCCTGAAAGAAACGTGTTTTTTAACTTAAGGCCCTACATGGGGCTCAGTGTCTTTGGCTTTGTGACTTAGGTATTCCTCTGAAGCTCTGAAACATCGGGGATTTTCAATTCCAGGCCCAAGACAAGATACATCCACTGGCCCTTATAGTTACTCCATGACCTTTCTGTACTGTATCAGACCTACTTCACTCTTGGGAACCCCTAGATTAGATCTAAATTAGAGAATCGTGATCCTCTAGGGTCACCCAAAATAAAAGACCAAGATGGACAGATCCCTTGCTTTAGTCATGATAACATCATGTTGGTAGTGTCCCTTCCTTGTGTCAGAGTGTGCAGCTTGAACTCTCCCTAGAGATTTGGTGGGCATCATTGCTAGCATTGCTTGCAAACAGAAGGCAGAACTTTGACAATATATCGCCAGTGTATAGGAGCTTCCATGAGTCCATGAGGCACTTCATTAAATGTTTAGCTGCTTCTGATCTGATAGTCAGCATGACCATTGTTATGCAAACTTAAGCCTAGGCTATTTTCCGTGTAGGAAGCCATCTATCTTGAAAATTCAATTTCATAAGATATTTGGGCAAGGCTAAACTTCTGAGGTCTGGAAATTATGACTACTCTTATGGCCAAGGACAACTAGGTTTCTTAGAAAATTAAAGAAGGAATTATTTTTTCTCTTGTGTCACATGCCACAAATGGATCTGGGCGTGCATGGGTAGAAAATGAGACAGGGTGTCTACCCAAAGGGTTTTGAGCCTGAATTAGCCCCCAGATGGTAAAAACCCGGGGCAGAGATCTACTGGAATCTGCCCAAGTCTTGGTTCTGGGTAGAACTATTGGCTGTGCTAATTAAGACAAGTACTAGGAAACTTACCAGAAACTGGATGAACAAAACCAGTGGGATTTATGTCATCATGTAGAATATGGAGCTCAGTTATTTAATATCATGAGTCTGTTTCAGTGTTCTTGTATTCTTTATTAATATTATTCTTACAGGTGTTTTCTGTCATTCCTTGGTGTATTTTTGGTCACAAGAAATCGAGAAAAGGAACATCTGCAACAGTCTTATATTGATTTTGGAAATATTCCTGGTAAAATCATATATTCTTTATAGTGGAAAATTTGATCCTTATAAATGAATAATTATTGGTATTATTTTGGGTGGTAAGTTAATATAAAACATAATTCTTACCCTTAAAAAATGTGGATTTAATAATGAAACCAAAGGTGATATTTTCAGTGTAAATGTTACTAATAATTTATTGAATGTTAGTTTTGCACAGAACTGGGGATATAAAAGAACTGACCATGTTTCCTTGATTTGGGTGATTTGGAGGATTTCCTTTTTGGGTTTCCTTAAATTGGAAAAGGGTAGAGAAAAGAGTAGCAATGACTACCAGCAACAGACCCCTGCCACTTTGAGAGCCTTGAAGGAACATCCAAAGACAAAGGGTAGGCAGCTAAGGAACATGTCTTGGGGAAAGCCTGGGGTGGCTTGCGCACTGTGGCTCAGGACAGTCACCAAAACACAAGTAGCTTCTTCCCCCTTCCTCACCCCACCTACCCAGAGAGCAAACACTCTTTCCGGTTCTCACTCTCACTGAGAAATAACTCACCTAGTCATGTAGACAACAAAAGCCAAGTCCAGGACAGAGGAAACAGTCTGATGTGTAACTTCTTCCCCCGTCCACCCGCCCTCAGCACTCTCCAGCCTTATTAGGGGTTTGGGGGGACCTATAGGTTTCCAGGCAGGAGTGAAGATATTCTCACAGCTTTCTCCGCCATTCTGTTAGCATCATGCCTGTGAAGCAAAAACTAGGGAAGCCTCATCCCTAAGACTGAGAAATATGGCCCCATGCAATGAATTCTGTGTTCTCTTTGCCATTCGAGCCATCTTATCTGCTGGAAGCAGTCAATGAAAGAATTGGCATCAGTGGCAAAGGTGCATGTGAGAGAAGCCTTATATGGTTAGAGGTTCTTTGGTGGGAAATAAAGTTTGATTTTATTTTATTTTATTTTTATTTTTTATTTATTTTTTTTGAGATGGAGTCTTGCTCTGTCGCCCAGTTCTGGAGTGCAGTGGCACAATCTCAGCTTACTGCAACCTCCCCTCACAGGGTTCAAGTGATTCTTGTGTCTCAGTCTCCCAAGTAGCTGGGATTACAGGTATGCACCACCATGCCTGGCTAATTTTTCTATTTCACCGTGTTGGCCAGGCTGGTCTCAAACTCCTGACCTCAAGTGATTCGCCTGCCTCAGCCTCCCAATGTGCTGGGATTATAGGTGTGAGCCACTGCGCCCAGCCTGATTATTTTTAACTCTATTTTTTATTTCACAAAGCCCAGTGCATAGACTCCATAGTAGCTTTAGAAGCCACTATCAAAGGCTATTTTTCTACGTTGTTATATGCATTCGACATGGAAAAGAAGACACAACCCTGGGGAGAAAGGCTTGGAGATGACTGAATGCTTCATGTGAATCTCCAGACTAAACCCACCTGATTTCCATGCACGGCCTGTCGATCCTGTGGGGTGGGGACAGTGGCTCTGACACAGACAACATGCTATCACACAGCTAGAGACATGGCATTCCAAGGGCCTTTCCTTCCTTGACATTCATCTCTTCTGTTTAGACAGTGCCCACATAGTATAAAAGAGAGGTGATAAAGTGTGGCCTAGATTGAGGAGAAATTATTAAGACTCATTTTTCTGTAAGACCACAAAAGATTCTCTATGATTATTATCTCCACAGGGAAACAAATGTTGGACAAAATACAACCAGATTCAAATAGCTTATCCTATGGAACTTTGCCTGATGGAAGTGACTCAACAAACAGCCAAAGTGGAGAGAAGAAAGAGGTCTAAAATGCTGAGAGGGATGACTGTTGGCCTGTTATTCGATACCACCTTTTTAAAAAATTGCACATGTTCAATTTGTGTCAGCAGCTCTTTTATAAGCTGACATATGCTAGTGTTCATTTCAGTCCTTTCCCCCACCTCAGCGCCTATGGACAATCATGGGCTTCCTAAGCTCTGACAGTCTAATATTTCCATGGAATGTGATTTGAAGTGTTCCCCACACCCTGGACCTCTCCCTAGTGATTATCTAGCCAGCTACACCTTAATCAGAGCCCAGCTGCTCTAGCAGGAATGTTGCACAGAAATGTACATTTGCGGTTTGGCCATAAGTCGCATAGGTAGCTTCTCCCACGGGTAGTGTCAGTTGCTTCACTTTAAAAAGACACTTCAGCCCCGTAGCCTGACTCCCAAAAGAAAGGTTTGAGAGTGCTCATTTTTTTCTAAGCCACCTTTTATAAGCCTCTCTATAAAAATCTTACCTTTCAAGTCCTAAATTAGAATTGCAAGTCATCTTTTCTGAAAACTAATGCTATCAAAGTCCTCCTTGGAAAATTAAGGGTCTCTTTAAAATTAGAATTTATAAATGGCATTCAGTGATGGTGTATACCAAAATTAAAAGACCTTGACTGGTGGGCTTTTTAAATGTAAGAAAGAGGAAGTTTAAGAAGTAGGACTCTGCTTGTTTCGGTAGCCCATGTACTAAAATGGGAACAATGCAGAGAAGATTAGCACAGCCCCCGCGCAAGGCTGACACATAAATTCATGAAGCATTAGAGACAAAAAGTAGGACCAATGTTTCTTTATTTTGTAATAAAAATATAGAATGGTGATGTTTTCTTCAGCTGTATGATTCTATTATACTTGAAACTGAAGAAAAATTTAATATCCTATGCCTTTGTTTTTATAGATCTTATAATTTATCAAGTGGGCTTATATGTCTTATTCTCCATATAAGTCTAAAAAATCACATTTAAATTCTTAGTGATATTTTCACTACACATCATTTCTTCCCAAAGTCATTATCTCAAGCTTTGTACATTCTTTGAGATAAAAGGAGAGTTGTGATTAGAGAACTGTATTTCAGCCATTTAATTCTGTAGACATAGAAGACAATCCAGTGGTCAAACCTGAGCTTCAAGAGGAAGCCCAACTCCTCCTGTGCCCTAAAAGGCTTTTCCACTTCAATTCATCACATATCTACTAAGACACATTTGCATGTAGAATCCATAATAATATCTGTTATTTATGATCTACCTAATATTTAAAGGAGAAGGAAAGAGGTAGCCTTCATTGTAGCCAACATCAAACAATAATTCCCACCCTTCATGACATTTCAAAGCCTTCAGATCAGGAGATAGAGACACAAAAAACCCTTCAAAAAATCAATGAATCCAGCAGCTGGTTTTTTGAAAAGATCAACAAAATTGATAGACCACTAGCAAGACTAATAATGAAGAAAAGAGAGAAGAATCAAATAGATGTAATAAAAAATGATAAGGGTGATATCACCACCGACCCCACAGAAATACAAACTACCATCAGAGAATACTATAAACCCCTCTATGAAAATAAACTAGAAAATCTAGAAGACATGGATAAATTCCTGGACACATACACCCTCCCAAGACTAAACCAGGAAGAAGTTGAATCTCTGAATAGACCAATAACAGGCTCTGAAATTGAGGCAATAATTAATAGCCTACCAACCAAAA